AGAGACAGACAGAGACAGACAGAGACAGACAGAGACAGACAGAGACATTCACACAATCTCTCGTGTGCTGAGTGCAAGAGTGGGTGCAAAATTGTTCTATCCTCCATTCACCACTGCCTTGTTCTGCAAAAACACTTGCATTTATATAGCACCTTTCATTAGGTCAGGACTGCTGAAAATTTTCTTTACAACCAATGAGATACTTTTGAAACTACGTCACTATTGTAATGTAGGAAATGTAGCAGCCAATTTGCATACAGCAAGGTCCCACAAACAGCAATGAGATAATGAGCAGGTAGTCCATTGCGGTTTCCAATGAAAGACCATCATCAAGCTGAAATGTGAACTCAGCTTCTCTCGACACATGTGGCATGACCTGTCGAGCATTCATTTCAGACTTGCTGAATCTGCACGATTTGGTTTTTACATTTATGACCGGTTTTACAGCTGTAGGATAAATGTTGGTCAGAACGACATGGAGAGAACATTGTTCTGATTTGAACAGTGACACAAAATGTTTTACACCCAGCCAAAGGGGACAGACCAGAGCTCAGTCTAATGCCTCATGTGAAACGGTGGTCCCTCACACAGTGCGGCAAACCCTTGGTACCGTGTTGATGCATTAGGCTGGACTCTGGGCTCAAAGCTCTCAAGTAGAGGCTGCGAGCAGCTAAGGCAGAGGTGGGTGCGTTACCACTGAGCCACACCTGGGAGCCCCTGCAGCATTGGAAATGAGCATCAGATATTTTCGCTAAAGACAGAACACAGAGTCCGGAGGCAAATCTCAGAGATACCGAGGGCTGGATTAGCGTGGAGTTAGGGTAGACTGGGGAGATTTTGAACGTGGTAGGTGGGACCCAGCTCCGGGACTGGTACCCCGATTTCCTGGCACCGGGATTTTCACCAGAGCGGGTTAAGAGTTTGGATAGTGAGCCCTCAACCTGCACACACGACCCGGCTGGTTCTATCATGGAGTAGGCATCTCACATCAACACCTCTGTGGCCCAAATCCATTTGATCTTGGTGCTACCTGTCTTCCTGATTGAAAGTGTCGTAGTGATTGAGGAGGGGGCCATTAATGCAGAAATCCAGACAATTATTTTTCTAAAAATAAAAGAGGACAGCATGGTGGCTCAGTGGTTAGCACTGCTGCCTCACAGCACCAGGGACCTGGCTTCGATTCCAGCCTCGGGCGACTGTCTGTGTGGAGTTTTCACATTCTCCCCGTGTCTGTGTGGGTTTCCTCCCACAGTCCAAAGATGTGCGGGTCAGGTGGATTAGCCATGCTAAATTGCCCATAGTGTTCAGGTAGGTGTAGATTAGGTGGGTTATAGGGGGATGGGTCTGGGTGGGATGCTCTGAGGTTCAGTGTGGACTTGTTGGGCCAAAGGGCCTGTTTCCACACTGTAGGGATTCTATGATTCTACGAGGACAAACATCCCTCTTTATGTCAAGCTGCTGCTTCTTTTCAGTACAATGCAGACGACGTACAATTTCTTACTAAACTTGATGCAAACCGGAACCGTCCTCCATTACCCAGCACCAAGGCCAAAGGTATAAGTTGCTAAAGAAACTCAGCAGGTCTTACAGCATCTGTGGACAGAAAGCAAAGTTAACAAGTCTGATGAAAAGTCATCGGACTTGCAATGTTAACTCTGCTTTCTTCCCACAAATGCTGCCAGACCTGCTGAGTTTCTCCAGCAATTTCTCTTTTTGTTTCTGATCTCCAGCATCCGCAGTTCTCTGTTTTATATTAACATGGCCAAAAGGACCATGCTCTCATTGTTAGTGCGGCGATATCTCCACATAACAAGCTGCTGTTCTGGTCTGCCACCATTCAATCGCCTGTCACGCACAGAGTTTCATTTACCTTCTTGTTTTTATCAGGTGAGCTGTGGCTGCTGCTATTCTTCCCGTCCTTCTCAGTGTCAGAGGTGAGGGGGTCACAGCTATGCGAGTGGCCCAGTTCATTCCCGTTGTCTACACACTGGGGCTTCCAGCCCGTCAGATCCACACCGGCTGCACACCAAAGCTGTGAGAAAGACCAGCACAACATTAGCCACGGAAAACATCGCAGCAATTGTCTCCAAACTAAGAGTACAGAATTACTGAAAACGCTGACATCTACAAATGCTCCTCAATGGGCATTTTCCTTTGGTCTTGGCTACTCATGAACATTTCAGACGAATACAGTAGAGTGGACCTCAATTTAGGATATCAACATAGGGAGAGGATTGACATCATCCTTCCCTTTCCAATTTTAATCACTTGACTTGACAAAGGTCAGTATTAAGCTTGTCTCGATGAAAGTCAGCTGAAAGACAGGGAAACCACGCTCTTTCTTCGGTCAATGCTGTGTTGTTCATACTGTACTAACTTCTACCTAACTTCCAGGTTGAATGCAATGTTATCCACAGTTATTTTTCCCTGGACTGTTACTGAAATTATGAAGTGAAAACAGTGAAAGGGTAAAACTAAACATTTCGAAACTCTTGCTTTCTGTGCAGAAACTGACTTTTTTTTGCTTTACTCTGCTGTACAAATAAGATTACAGGCCCTAGTGTCTCACTGTGGGTCTCAGCTGTAGCTTTCGGGTGTTCAAAGTGACGACAGAATATGGCTATAGGCATCATAAAGGTTACGCCAATAGAAAATTCAAGATAGGACAGGGTAAACGCAGGAAAGATGTTCCCAATGATCAGAGAGTCCCGAGCCAGGGGTCACACAGTCTAAGGATATGGATAAGACCATTAGTGGTGCCTTCAGAATCTAAAATGAGGAGAATGTGATTCCGTGGGTTAGCCTGGAAACATGGCCGACAACTGACCTCTTGCTGACCCTGAGTTGGCAGGAACCATTCTCTCTGGAGGCATCTCAGGCACCAGATACCCAAGGCAGAATGGTGTGCCAGCGCTTACCTAGCCTGGTTTGGTGTCTGTCACTGGTGGTGTTGCAGTGGCTGGGGCCAGTGGTGGAGAAGGGTTCCCACTTCATTCTCACATCCAGTGAAACATTCCAAACAACACTGGCCCCAGTGATCAGGGTAACCTTTATTTGGAACTTCTCTGGAGCATCCAGAGGATGTCCTGGAGGAGGGTAGTGGAGATTGTGTTTGTAATGTATTGCATGTGGCCATTCCTTTAGATTTGAGGAAGGATATCAAAAATATCTGATCTCAAAAGAGCGGAGAGCCCCCACATTCAGATCTAGAGGGAAGCAAGGACAGGTGAGCAATGTATAGCATCTGCGACAAGACTGCTGAACTTCTAACATTATCCCTTTATTTTTCTAGTTTATATCAAAGACAGATTTTAATGTTAACTATTACCTTATTTCTTTATTTTTCTACTTATTATATGAAGGTGATGCTTAACCTTTTTGACTTTGTTTCTTTTACTACCTTGTACCCAAGTACCTTTGTGTCAAAAATGTGTGGTGACATTGGACACTTTTCACCGTATTCCCCTGTACTCTGTATGTGAGTACACATGAGAATAAAATCTAAATCTAAACAAGCCAGAATCATAGTGAAATGTCAAACATCTCTGGTATCAGAAGTTTCTAGCAGGCATTGAGGTTAGCAGCGAAATGGGTTCCAAATTCTGACCAGCAGAGCCTTTCTTTGCTCTTGGCTCATGAATACCTTCATGGTGGGATCCTTTGCAACCAATGGACGGCAGTAGACTGGGATTGGGACATTCTTCATGCGATTGTCTTCTTGGCTGCCATTTGGACTCAACTAGATGAAGAACAAGACACCACTTATCTTTCAGTAAAATTAAACTGTCGCATTGTCACAACGTTACAACAGACAAACCCAACACGTGCCATTCTTTGTGGAGCAGATGGACTAAAAAGAGAAGTGAACAAAATAAATTTGATCACATGGAGGCTTTTGACTTCAGTCTTCGAGAAACCCGTGGTTTGTCATTCTTCTGAATGAACTTGTGTGAAGAGAAAACTTTAGAGGTGGAGGGAGAAGTGACTGAAAAGTTCTCAGGCAAGTTAGAATTTCAAAAGTACATACATATTCATTTTCTCTTCATGGGTGAATTAATCCCTCTCTTGTTTGTGGGTCTTTGATTTCTCCTGGCTACTCCATTGTCATTCCTTTTCGCTGGCACAACTGTACAGCACATGACCAGCCATTTTCTAAAACAGGTGAGTGATATTCACTGGCTCATTTCTCCAGGAACACACCGCCCGGAGTCAGCCTACTTGGTTTGAAACCCGAACCAAGCCTGGCAGTTAATTGTCAATAATTGTTACCTGCTCCATTCTCCATGACAACACATACACCAGAGTTCCACTTGCCAACCAATCAGTACTCTGCTCCCTTACAGGAATAAAATGTTGGTATTCTCTTTCAATGGCATTCTTGTGAATAGTTCTGATGTTTGCAAGATGAAAAGCTTTAATAAAATATGTCTTTTTTCAGCACCACTCATGTTCTGTTCTACCAAATAACTACCAGGCATATTCTAGAACACATTGGGTTGGCTATATTGTGCTGTACCTCCCAAAGTGTCCAAGCAACTAAACCTCAGAACATGGGCTCCAATACACGGCTGGTGGCAGTACGGGCCACAATGTATTGCCGATGGGGTTAAGTACTGGTGGACCCACAAGAAGCTTTCTTGATTGAATAAATACTGGCAGCACCACAGGCTGCCCCAGGCAAAGGTGAGTTTCCAGAGAAACAAACAGGATGAGCACATTCTGGTCCTATAGTCTCAGGCTATTGAACACTCTCAGAATGACAGTCCTTTTAATTCAAGGTTAAAGTTATAATAGGGATAGGGGCATCAAGAGCTACATAAACATAAGCATTAATAGCCAAGTGGTATGGAGGGACTGTCTTATGAGGAAAGGCTGAGTGGGTTGGGCCGGGGCTCATTGGCGTTTAAAGGAATGTGATGCAACCTTATTGAAATGTACAAGATTCTTAGGGGACTTGGCAGGATACATGTGGAAAGGCTGTTTCCCCTTGAGACAGAGTCCAGGACCGGGCAGCATAATTCCAGAGTAAAGGGTCACTCATTTAAGACAGACATGAGGAGGAATTTCTTCTCTCAAAGGGTAGTGAATCTATGGAATTCTTCACAGCAGACGGCAGTTGAGGCTGGGTCATTAAGTATACTCGAGGCTGAAATAGACATTTTTAATCAGTAAAGGTTGTGGGGAAAAGGCAGAAAAGAGGAGTTGATGATATCAGATGAGTCATAATCATACTGAATTGCACAGGAGACTCAATGGGCTGAATGGCCTACTTTTCCTCATGTCTTTTGGTTTAGAAGCAGCCAAAATCTCACCGTGTGACACAGCAGGCCTGAGGAGATGAATAGCCCACTCCTGTCCCTAATACTCTTACATTGTAATACCAGGCATTGCACTGTCACAGTGCACAGGGGAATGTCCTATTTTGAGAGATTTTAATCCCCTTAAAGTAGCAGATCTATGAATGATTGTTTGGTGCTACAGAGCTTGAGAAAAGGTAAACCACCACAGTCTTATCAGGCCATAGGACTGCTTTCTCTTTAGAGAGAGATGACTGATCTTGATTTAACCTGAGGGACACCATGATGTCAGGTGAGGCAAGAGGTTGAGGAGGAGCGACCTCATGGTAACCTCAACCAATGTGAGAATTGAACCCATGTTGTTGGCATTATTCTGCATTGCAAAACCAGCCATCCACCCAACTGACCCCCAACTGGAGTACTGCTAAAGATAAGCAGGCATTCTAGCAAAGGTTCTCAACATGTCATCAGGATAGGTGCAAGAGTGCTAATTTTCCCCAAGGCAAATCAATTGACAGCGCCTGAGGGAAAAGAAATAAAGGTGCTTCAGGATGAATGCAAATCAAAAACCTTAAACCACATCATTTTTTTTCAGCAATATATGAGCAAGTTCAATATTTGTAATCTAATATTAAATGCAATCATGTCGAGCTGAACATATTTCAATCTCAGGGCCTGAACTGTGGCCGAGTACAGAACGTGGAGACATGCTGTAATGAAAACAGAAAGTGGTAGAGATAATCAGCAAGTCCAGTATCATCTGAAAAGACCGAAACAAGAGTTAACAGTTCAAGTCCGGTGACCTTTCATCAGAACTCACTGGACCCGAACCATTAACTCCGCTTTCTCTCTCCACAGATGCTGCCAGACCTGCTGAGTTTCTCCAGCACGTTCGGTTTTTGTTTCTGATTTCCAGCGCTTGGCAGTTCTTGGGTTTTATTACAGTGAGAAATGCTGTCCTGTTTCTGGGCCGTACCTGTTTGTATTTCGCTGGGAGACTCCAACCACACGCTTGCAGTCGCCCATCATCGTTCCTGACGTGGTCCCTGACCTGACGGTACTGCTCGCGTTTCAGCTCCCGCCGAGTGGTCGACGTACAGTCACTATGGAGAAAAATCAAACAAACAGTCATGCACAGCAAGCGGAAGAAAATACTACTGGAATTAGCGAGAGAAAATGGCGATCCATGTGGCTGTGCATTTAAACCTACCCTGAGCCACATGTGTTTTAGTATTGTGCATGCTCCAAATCTTTTCAAAAGATGCACCTTCTGTCTCATTACAGCCACAACATACAATGTCCATAAAGTCTGTGACAAAAAGGACGAAAGATCTTCGACCTGAAACTTCTACTCTGTTCATCTCCATTGATACTATCAGGCCTACCAAATATTTTACAGCATTTTCTGCTTTTGTTAGGTTCCCAGCATCTGCAGTCTTTTGCTTTGACACTTCATCGTAAATCTCATCTGACCTAAAGTAGCTGGACGTAACATTTTAGCAGCATCGCAGAAGTGGTAGAACAGAACAGGCCGGGTTTTGCTCTGAAGGACACCAGCCATTCATTAGACTTGCAGGTTTCTACTTTCGAGTTTTTCCTTCAGCCAATTAACCAAATTTGCAGCAGTCTCAACAGGGGAGTCGTGACCAGGTGTTAGCAGGGGAAAGTAACTCTGCACCTTCCTGAGCAATTCTTCGATACAATTAATTACGAGCAGCTCAGAGTCTGAACCAGGGAGGTGCCAGTTAGAACAGGGAATCGGCTAACAAAACAAGTGCAGAAAGCAAGTCACAGAATCCCTACAGGGTCAGCCCATCAAGTCCGCACTGGCCCTCCAAACAGCATCCCTGTCAGACCCCTATCCTCATAACCCCACATTTCCCATGGCTAACCCACCTATTATGCACATCCCTGGACGTTATGGGCAGTTTAGCATAGCCAATCCAACTAACCTGCACATCTTTGGGCTGTGGGAGGAAACCCGGAACACCCGAGGAAACCCACTCAGAATCAGGAAGAACATGCAAACTCCATGCAGAGAGTCACCCAAGGCTGGAATCGAAACCCGGTCCCTGGCGCCGAGGGAACAGTGCTAATCACTGAGCCATGAAGCAACCCCATCAGGATAAGGGAAACAAATACTGCATTAAGAGAGATGAAAGGGTCAGAACGTGTTCTTTTAAAACCTCTACCAGCAATTAAAATCTGAAGGAATAGGCCTGTGAAAATTAATTTTAGGTGTGCCAAAAAGGAACCAAGATTTTATCACACCTTTACAGGGTCATTATCTAGGATTGGACAAGTTCCACTTTCTTCTAAATAAAAAACTGAAAAGAACTGCAGATGTTGTCAATCAGGAACAAAAACGGAAGTTGCTGGAAAAGCTCAACAGGTCTGGCAGCATCTGTGAAGAAAAAAATTCAGAGTTAATGTTTCAGGTCTGGTGACCCTTCCTCAGAACTACAGTGTGGAAAGAGGCCATTCAGCCCATCAAGTCTGCGCTAATCCTCCAAAGAGCATCCCACTCAGACCCCTACCCTCGTAACCCCACATTTTCCATTGCTGAGTTCGGAGGAAGTGCCTAAAACATTAACCAATTTTTTCTTCACAGATGCTGCCCAACCCGCTGAGCTTTTCCAGCAACTTCTGTTTTTGTTCCACTTTCTTCCAGTAAGTTTAATAGGTATACATCATGCACGTATACCAGCTTTATGGTATTAAATTTATTTAAATAGTGCTTCAGGCAATATATGCCATTTCCACCAAGCTTACAGAGGAGCACTGTATCATGTCCATCTGGATTTCAGCGTTCGACTGCACAAGTGTGTAGTTGCGAAACATTGTTATCCAATATCCACTTTACAAAGTGATGGGTGCTGTTAGTTTCATCATTCCTCCTATTCCAAAACCCAGGTCATTAATACTTTCTGAACCTACAACTCCTTTCCAGCTGTGGAAATTAAACCAAAGAATAATGCGGGAATGACACCTTTCTAAAAATTAAACATTACAATTTAAAACCCAGAGTTCCATACAGGAATTCAATCTGAAATAAGGCTGAAACATCTAGGCCCCAGTTAAAACCCGCTGAGCGACTTAACACTGAAAAAGGGCAGGAAGTGGTTGAAAACAACAACAAAAAAAATCACATGACCTGGAGTCGCCGTGCGGTAGATGGCGGAATGGACTTTCAGAATTGCCTGGCAGACATCTCGCACCCAAACTGGTGAATGGGCTGGTGGTGGTAGTGAGGGGGTGTGGTTACGGGAGGTGAAAACATGGTTAGGGGTCTAATAGAGCACAGAGAGCAGAACTCCGGCAGGGAGGCGTCAAAATCAAAGGCAGAGACCCCTTCAACCTGGTAGACCCAAACTGTGATGTCACACAACACAGGGAGGTGATTGATGAGTATTCCCTCAATGTCTCTATTGATTTGTCACAAGAGATATACAGCATGGAAACAGGCCCTTCGGTCCAACTTATCTGTGCTGGCCAGATATCCAATCTAGTCCCATTTGCCAGCATTTGGCCCATATCCCTCTAAACCCTTCCTATTTGTGTACCCGTTCAGATGCCTTTTAAGTGGCATAATTGTACCAGTCTCCATCAGTTCCTCTGGCAACTTATTCCATACATGCACCACCCCCTGTATGAAAAAAAGTTGCCCCTCAGGTCCCTTTTCAATCTTTCCCATCTCACCTTAAACCTATGCCCTCTAGTTTTGGATTCTCCTACCCTGGGAAAATGACCAGTCACCCTATCCGTGCCCCTCATAATTTTATAAAGTGGTTTTAATCAGGAAATGTTATTGCAGTTGAAGAGTACAGATAACAAATTCACTTAAAATATTTATTTTCCAAATTAATTTATTGAATGGAACAGACATAGCTGGGCCAGGCAATGCGATGCAGCTGTAGTATGTGGGAGTTAGCAGATGCTGGTGTGATCCACATCTGCAGCAAACATTGAGATAGTAAGAACTGCCGATGCTCGAGTCTGAGATAACACAGTGTGGAGCTGGAGGAACACAGCAGGCCAGGCAGCATCAGAGGAGCAGGAAAGCTGACGTTTCGGGTC